CTGACCCAGAACATTCTCATCCAGAACATTCTGACCCAGAACATTCTGATCCAAAATATTCTGATGCAGAACATTCTGATCCAAAAATATCCTGATCCAGAACATTCTGGCCCAAAACATTCTGGCCCAAAACATTCTGGCCCAGAACATCCTGATCCAGAACATCCTGATCCAGAACATCCTGATCCAGAACATCCTGATCCAAAACATCCTGATCCAAAACATCCTGATCCAAAACATCCTGATCCAGAACACTCTGATCCAGAACACTCTGATCCAGAACACTCTGATCCAGAACACTCTGATCCAGAACACTCTGATCCAGAACACTCTGATCCAGAACATCCTGATCCAGAACATCCTGATCCAGAACATCCTGATCCAGAACATCCTGACCCAAAACATCCTGACCCAGAACATTCTGACCCAGAACATTCTGACCCAAAATACTCTGATCCAAAATACTCTGATCCAAAACATTCTGACCCAGCTGATTCCTCTCCAATTGCCTGGTGAAGGAGCTGCTGGTGAAGGAGCCGGGCAAGGCTCTGACTGCAAAAACGCCCAGGAAAAAGCAGAATTCCAAGGCCAGGAGGTGTTTTCCCAGCAGGGAAGGTGGTTCTGGGGGCAGGCAGGGCCCACTCACCTCCTGGTGCCTGTTGCCCTCCCGGATGTACACACTGGCCAAGTTGGTGACAATAAATGCCCAGAGCTCCTGATGTGTCGTGAGCTGGGAGGGACAAAACAACAACAGCACAGTCACATATTCCACATATTCCAGAGCCTCCCCTGGCATCTGCTCATCCCAGAAAAATCCCACATTTTACACCTGATGGTGTGAGGCTGTAAAACCCTCCAAACTGGAAGCACAGGAAAAATTAACAGAGCAGTGAAGTTAAATACAGATTATTTCCGGGTTTCCCTTCTGACCTTGCTGCTCCCACACAATTCCAACAGCCCCACTCCCACCTGGAGCATCCACAGGAAAGCCTGGAAACAGAAATCTCACCCTCAGTGCTGTAGTGAATTGTGCTTCTGCATTGTCCATGCAGTTAACAGAGATGCAGTAGAGGCCCTGGAGGAGGAGAAATGTAAATTATGATTCTCACAGTGAAGAAAGGCACCCCCCAAACCCACAGAAATCCTGGGATATCGGCAGGGAAAAGCCACCAACAAGCCCTGGATGTGCTTGGCTCTGGGAAAAATAAGGAATTCTTACAGAAAGCCCTTTAAAATAAGTTCATTCATGTAAAAAAAGCTTTATTTAGCTGAGAAAACCTTCATAAATGTCACGTGAGACTCATAATTTCCTATGAGACAATTCCCATAAAAAAACATCTCCAGCTGTTTTAAACCTCCTGAATTCACCTCGTTGACTATTTGTGATACAAAAATATAATATAAACTTTTTTCCAGAAAATCTGTGGATTCCCCATCCCTGGAAGTGTCCAAGGAGCGACCTGGGATAGCGGGAGGTGGGATGGGATGGGATTTAAGGTCCTTCCAACCCAAAACCACTCCAGGATTCCCCAACACTTATTTCCAAAGGGTTTTAAGTGGGAGTCCCACCAGGGGTGAATCCCCAGAGGAAAGGATTCCTGCTCCTCCACTCCCTGCCTGCCCTGAGTTCCCGGGAATGAGCAGGAGAGCGGGATCTGCTGCTCCAAGGAGCTCCCAGGGCTAATTCCAGGCACTCACCAGGAGCGTGTGGAGCTGGGCAGCGTGGTTGGAGAAGAGCCTGGGGGACTGCTGGCACAGCTGGCACACCTGGGAGATCTGGGACAAGAAAATCACATTTTAGGACACTTTTTCTCCCATTTTCTGCTCCAAATCCACCCCACGTGTGTCCAGGTTTCGGTGATTATTCCAAGGATCCCAAATTACGCTCCTGGGTAAAAGTTGGAGGCTGGTTGTGCCTCCAGCCCAGGGACAGGCACTGCCCCACACACTCCAACTGCTTTGGAATGGTTTGTTCCACCTGCAAACCAAGTCACAGCTCCCTCCTGACAGGCCCCAAACCTGAAATTTTGCAGGAAAACTGGGATAAAAATATTCCAGGGAACGGGCTTTGGGATTGGTTTCACGAGCCAGTTCTGAACCTCCCCTGCTTGGGATGATCCAGCACCTCCTATAAACACAGGATGGATGAGCAGGATTTGAAAATGACTGGAAAAATGGGAAAAGGCTCAGTCCTTTCTTGCACTAAATAACACAAACCCTCCCTTGCTCTCCTTCCACTGTGTAAGAGGAAAGGACAGAAAAGCAGGAAGTCTGAAAGCTGGGAAATGCTTGGATAAGGAAGAGGAAGGAGCCACTCTGGGAAGGGAAAAGACACCTGAGTCAGGCTGTAAATACAGCAGGAGGGTGTCAGATGTACCATCAACCACTGTTCAACTCCAAAGTGTCCTGAAAACATTGCAGAGGAGCCAATCCCACAGGTTGGGAGCTGTGGAGTCCTGAGCTCCATCCATCCTGGCTGGATCCATCAATAACTCAGCAGGAATTCCTGTCTCAGCCCAAATATCTCCCCCCAAACCGAAATTCCCACATTTTAAAGGCCATCCCTGTGTCCACCCCTATCCCAGGGAGTGCTGGAATTCCACCCCACCCTCACCTCCTGCAGGGCTGTGGCTTTGTGTCCCGTCACCAGCCGGCACATGATGATGTGTTCCAACAAAATCACTTGGAATGAGGACAGGATGGGGCTGCAGTCCAGCACTGGAGAGGGAGGGAAAGGACCACAGCAAGTGGAGTCACCTCAGGAATTTACAGCCCAGTTCACTGAGTCACAACAAAACCCCCCCAAACTTGATATTTTAATAGTAACAATATTATTACTAATAATAAACAAACTACTCATTTTTGTACTCAAAGCAATCAGCTAAAAGAATAACAGTGAAACAAACAGTGGGAACAAACAGTGGGAAAAGCTGTTGTTATTCTCAGTAGTATTTCTATATTTAAAGCAACCACCCAGCCTTAAAAAAGAACAAAAGTCTCAGTCTCGTCTTTGACTGACCAGGGAGCCAAAAAAGGCTGTGTTTGGTTTAAATTAGCAACAAATACTGCAATTGTGCAGCATCAGCTGAATTCCAAGCCTTCTCCTTACTTTTTAGCTTCTCCAGCTGCATGAGGGCTTTGTCTGTGTACTTCTGGGCCTTCTCCAGGTACCCTGCCTGCATGGAATGCATCACTGTCACCTGCAGGGAGACACAGCACGGCTCACTCACCTTCCTCAGCCTCCCCAGGAGCCTGGGATGGAATTCCCAGACATGCTGGGCACATCCCAATCCCTGGAAGTGTCCAAGGAGCAACCTGGGATAACAGGAGGGGTCCCTGCCCGGGGCAGGGGGTGGCACTGGATGAGTTTTAAAGGTCCTTTCCAAACCCAAACCGTTCCAGGATTATCTAAAAATTCCTCTGTGCCAAGAGGGAAGGGCTGGCAAATTCCCACGAGGTCTGGGAGTCCCCACAGCTCCTCAACTCCCAGTTTTTTTAGCTCACTCTTGACAACATTTAGGATTTTGAGTCACGTTCAAGAAGCGGAACAACCAGAGACCCGGAGTCCAACTGTCATAAAACTGGTAAAAACGAGCCAACGTGGCTCCTCTTCCACAAATTAATCCACTTTTCTTTGAGTTGGATATTAATAAGAGTTTAATTTTAGTTTTTGGGTTTCTTTCCCCTCTTTTCCCAACACTGATGGTGCCAGGGATGCCGTGGCAGGATCCAGCTGCTGGTGCAGCACCGAGATTCCACCCCAGCCCACTCCAGTTTTTACCCAATCCCTGCTTAATTAGCAGCTAATTAGCCACCAAAGCTCTCACCAGGTAGACCAGCACACACATGTGCTCCTTGGGCAGCCAGTGGAAGAGGTCAGCGGGGTTGCTGGGCAGGATCTCGTCGTCGTGGAGCGTGGAGATGGTTTGGATGCACTGCTGGAGCTGCTTCAGGCAGGGCTTCACACTCTTCACCTGCCAAACCACACATTCCAGGTGGGAAAACCTCCCAGGTAACAAATAACACCCCCCCAAGTCAGGGAATTAACTTGTGCCCAAAGCATAACAGGCACCATTCCAGGATGAACAACGTTCTGCCACTCGGGGGGAAAAATCTGAGCAAAGCGTTTCCCAAAATTACAGTTTTTTTGGCTGGTGGGTGTCACCCCCCAGCAGAACAACATGGAAGCAAGAGAGGCCAAAGAGCACAAAAACATCCCAGAAAACCTTCCCTCAGGGAAGAAATTCAAAGTAATTTTCCCCCGAGGAAGAAATTCAAGTAATTTTCCCCCTCGTTTCGCTCGGGACGAAAATCTACAGAAATTCAAGTTTTGTTCCCAAAAAAAACCCCCCAGAGGTGTCTGTGGAGGCAGAGCTGCTCTTCCCAGAGTTCCCTGGGATCTCCCACCTACCTGCCCAGCATCCAGGTAGTGTGTGACCTGCAGGACCAGGAAGAAGACACGCAGGGATTCCTTCTGGATGGGGTTCCCCTGCCAGTTCTCCACGATCTGCCCGCACAGGGTCAGCAGAGGGTGAACCTCCTGCAGCTTCCGCTCCATCAGGAGCAGCTGCAATTCCAGAGGGAAAACAAGGAAATCATGGCTTTGGGGGTAAACAGTTGAAACACTCAGAGGACCCCAGCACTGGGAGGGAGTGGGATGGATTTTCCCTTCCAGAAATCCTTTCACAATTCCCAGTTATCCTTTTCCAATTTCCAATTCTCCTTTTCCCTCCCAGAAATCCTTTCACAATTTCCAATTATCCTTTTCCAATTCCCAGTTCTCCTTTTCCCTCCCAGAAATCCTCTCACAATTTCCAATTATCCTTTTCCGATTCCCAGTTCTCCCCTTCCCTCCCAGAAATCCTTTCACAATTTCCAATTCTCCTTTTACAATTCCCAATTATCCTTTTCCCTCCCAGAAATCCTCTCACAATTTCCAATTATCCTTTTACAATTCTCCTTTTCCCTTCCAGAAATCCTTTCACAATTTCCAATTATCCTTTCACGATTCCCAATTATCCTTTTCCCTCACAGAAATCCTTTCACAATTTCCAGTTCTCCTTTTCCTTCCCAGAAATCCTTTCACAATTCCCAATTCTCCTTTTCCCTCCCAGAAATCCTTTCACAATTCCCAATTCTCCTTTTCCCTCCCAGAAATCCTCTCACAATCCCCAATTCTCCTTTTCCCTCCCAGAAATCCTTTTACAATTCCCAATTCTCCTTTTCCCTCCCAGAAATCCTTTCACAATTTCCAGTTCTCCTTTTCCTTCCCAGAAATCCTTTCCCAACTCCCAGTTATCCTTTTCCCTCCCAGAAATCCTTTCCCAACTCCCAGTTATCCTTTTCCCTCCCAGAAATCCTTTCACAATTCCCAGTTATCCTTTTCCTTCCCAAAAAATCACATCACACTCGAGGAGTTAAAAAAACCCCCTCAAACCTCTTCACGAGGATTTCACACAAATCCTGCAGACTCAAAGCTTATCCCAAATATATTTTAAGGCCCTGCTTACTCACAGGGCAAACAAGAAGATAAAAAAGCACAAAAAGGCACAAAAGGCACCTTAAAAATCAATTTATGACCAGGCAAGTCTTGTTCATTTGCTCTGGAACTTGTATTAAATGAGTGAAAAAGTTATTTAAAAGAACATCCAACTCACCATCCCCTTGCTGAGCAGGAACAACGCTCTGAAATGAAATAAAACCAAATTATACTCAAAGAGAGTTACTCAAGCCACAATTATATATTAAAAAAAAGAGGAAAAAAAAATAAGGATTTGCCTTTCTCCCCCTTGAAGAGCAGAAAGAAAAGAATATTAAGGGACCTGCCACAGGAAATCCATTTAAAAGCAATGTGGAATAGGTCAATTAGAGCTGCAGGAATCAGAATTCCAGCCTCAGCTTTGGATCCAAGCTTTGGATCCAAATTTTCCGAGCTCAAACCAGACAAAATTCAGTTTAAAAAGCCTCTCCAGAGTCTTAAGAGAACATGATTTGGTTTAATAGTTCTAATGGTGTGGTCAAGGTGGCCCTGGGAGGTTGGAACTGGATGATCTTTAAGGCCCTTCCAACCCAAACCATTCTGGGATTCCATGAGCAGAGAAAGGAAAGAGCTGGAAAAAACCCCCCCAAAGCTGCAGAAACCAACTCAGAAATGCGATTTCTAGGTGGGTTTTAGAGGCAAACCAACATCTTTAAATAAAAACAGAACAGCTCTAAATAAAAAGTGGAGGAAAGCACAATATTTTCCGTGGGGAAGGAAGGAATTCCAGGGATCTCACCTGGTGTACTCGGATCCCACCACCCTGGCATACTCTGCTCCCACTCCCAGCAGGTCACAGGCAGACACCAAGTCCTTCTCCAGGGTGTGGAGTTGCTGGAATGACAAAAACAGAACCCAAAAAGTTGGTGTTTGCTTCAGGAAACCCATTCCCGAGTTCTCCAAGTGTCACCGTCCCTGTGCTTTCCACGGGCCAAAATATAAAACCACAGACTTTACATTCACACTTTATAATTTACTTATACATTCAATTTATATATATTTTTATATAAACACACTTTATATATATATATTTATTTTATATACACTTGGGAGCACGTTCCAGAACAGGAACAGTAACTTTCCCTGGACACCTTTCACCTGCTCCTTCTCCCCTCCCACATCTGCCAAGGCAGCAGAAAAGTTTAAAAGACATTTTAGAGACATTTTAAAAGAAATTTTAAAAGACATTTTAAAATATATATTTTGGAGAAATTTTAAAAGACATTTTAGAGACATTTTAAAAGAAATTTTAAAAGACATTTTAAAATATATATTTTGGAGAAATTTTAAAAGACATTTTAAAATACGTATTTTTGAG